TGGAAGGCAACACAGGACCAGCACAGCACGAAGGGAGAAGCTAAGTTCCAGCCACTAATCCTCCTCCTCCTCGTCGTAGGAAAATTGCCCACTGTCAGTCGAGTCCCCGGGGTCCACACCGCTCTTGGAGTAGTAATCGTAGTCGGTGCCGGAGTGGGGGAAGTCCAGGCGGCGAGATGCTCGTACGGCTGACCGGCCACCAGTGCCGCCGCCGCCGAGGGGGCGCCCAGGTTGGGGCGCCATCGATTGACGCTGGCGCCGAGACCTGGCAATCTCCATGCACGCCTGGATCCGGGTCACCCAGATCTGAGCATCCTCCGGCGAGCTGCACAGGGCGAAGAAGTGCTTCCGCGGGGGAGCCGTAATGAAGAAGGCACACTCCAGCGGGTTCAGGTGTGCCTGGAGCAGGGTTTGCGAAGCCCGCAGCCGGCGGATGACGTTGGCCACTGAGAGGAGGGTCCGGGTGAAGGCCCGTGACATTGGGCCGAGCAAGGGGACGGGCAAAGAGGTCAGGACACTGGCCAGCAGGCAGAGGGGCCTGCACATCATTGCTCGGTGCGGCCTCGCCGCCCTTGAGCCCGGCGAAAGGGGGGGAGCGCCGCCCGAGCGGCAGGGAAATCCACGCAAATGGCAACAGACCCCCCGAAAGAGGAAAAGGAGGGAGAAAGACACGCACTCTCAGGGAACTCGGTGGCCAGGCCGACATTCGTGCCGGGCAGCGCGAGGTTCAGCCGGAGAAGGGGCTGGCTGGAGGCCGGAGTCCGGAAGTAGGATAGGACGTTGTCCTGCAGGCGCACAAACGATGATCGCGAGAACGCCGGGCGGAAAGGGTCAGAGAAGGGCGGCAGGAGAGCCCCACCAGGCGGAAGCGTGCGCGCGTGTCTGTATGTGTGTGCGTGAAGGAAAAAAGGTCATCCACCAAAATCCAAGCCCATGGAGAGGGGGGGGGGGGGGGGGGGGGCGTCGACACAGAGCCGGCGCATGTGACGAAGGCGCACCCGGAGAGTGAACCAGCGCGGCCGCCACATGGACAGGGTGCGCGGATCGGCAAAGACCGAGTGCGCGGTCACCAGGAAGTCCGAATAGACCAGCGGGTCGGCCGCCGCCGGGGGGAAGTCCATGCTCAGCGTCAGCCCGGCACCAGGAGGGAGGAGAGCCAGCGGCTCCGCCGGGTGGTGGCCATGTGAGTCGCCACTGGCGGGATCGTCGTTCAGTGCCCGGGGCAGCCAGTCCACCGGCGAGGTGGAGGGCGAGCTGCCCGGCGTGGCCAAGCTGTCATTGAATGACTGCCTGTGGGGATTGCTGCCCAACTCGCTGGTGGCCCCACCGGTCAGGAGGTTGATCAGCTCCGGTGTCAAGCCGAAGTCCTCACTGACCTGGGGGCTGGTGGTGACGGGCTCCGAGGCGGGCAGCGCTTCGGGGTCGGCGGGACTGCCGGCCTGTGGCGGCTCGTCCGATGGCCAGGCTGCTCGGGCCCCGGATTCCAGAAGCGTGTGCCAATTGGCCGCATGCGAATCGCACCGGGCCATGAACAGGTAGAACACACGGCCCTCGGACGAGGCGTCCGGCCCGGCGGCAGGGGCACCATCGAAGCCCCGATGCCGGACCGCCGACCGCGCGGCCACCGGTCCCGAGGGCGACCCCGGCACAAATTGACCCCGGTAGGGCAGCAGCGCGGCCAGATCGCTCTCGATGCAGAATGCCTGCAGCCCGGGCAGCAGATGCACGCGAGTGCCCTGGTCCAGCGGGATCAGCCCGCGGGCCAAATGTTCGTTCCCCTCCTCGGCCGGCGAGGGGAAGAGCAGGAGGAAGCGCCCGCGCAGGACGGCCCACACATTGCGCCAGCGACCGGTCGCACCGGCGCCCGGGCCAGGGCCGGCCGGCTGCAGAGCCAGCGCATTGAGCCCATGCACGATGTCCATGGTCAGATCGCCGCCCTGGTCGAGCCCCGGGGCCGGGCCCTCCAGACAGAGCCAGCCGGCCACGGCATCGGTGGCCAGCGAGCCGAACACCCCGACGTCCGGCACCAGCAGCGGGCGGAAAAGCTGCGCCGCCCGGGTCAGCTGGATCAGCCACTGCTGCATGTCACTCTCGCGGTCGGCGATGAATTGGAAATACCCGGCCGGGTGAAGAGACGCCCGTGAGGGGAGCCCCCCGGTTTCCGGGGCCCCGGCCGCCTGCAGCATGAGGGTGAAATTCAGCCGCAGGGTGGGCAGCGTGCGCACCGAGGCCACCTGGTTCAGGCCGATGGCCCGATCGGGCCGGGCCCAGCTGCTGGCCGGGCCGAAGAGGACCGGCCGCGCGGCCAGCGCCGGGTCCGATGCCCCGGGGGTATCGCCAGTCTCCCGGAAGTAGGCCGCCGCCACCTTGGGCGAGGAGAACTGGTAGAGGATCAAATTCCGCAGGACAAAATGCGCCCGCATCGTCCGGCCCTGATGCAGGCAGGTGAGGTACCCCTCAAAGGCCGGGGCCGACGCCCGGGGGCGAAGGGCATCCAATGCCGCGTGGATGGCCCCGGCATCCAGCGAAACATAGTTCGGCGCGTTGGCCGGCAGCCCGGCCGCCTCGGCCATGGAGGCCAAGTTCGCCGCCGCCACCACCATGTCCGGCGAGTGGGGGTCCAGAGCGCTGGCCGTCAGGCCGGCATCCGGGGCCGAAACCGGCGGCTTCACCGGCCGGCCGAGCCCCAGCGAACCCGACGCCGCAGACGCCGAGGCGAGAAGGCAGACGGCGCCCGCGCCATCTGACCCCCTATCCTGGCCTGGGCCATGCTCGCCATCCTCATCGGTGGGATTCGCCTCATCATTGTCGCCCTCATTGTCCTCGTCGTGATCATGGCCCTCGCCGTCGGACAGACAGGCAGCCGGGGGATGGGCCGGGCGCTGGATGGACCGCGCGCCGGAAGTCATGCTAGCCGACAGCTGCAAGGCCGAGGACATGAGCAGGACCGAGGCCGAGCTGCCGGGGGTCTGGAGCCCGGATCTGGCGGCTGGCGATCCGCCAGAAAGCAGAGCAAACCCGATGGCCGCCGTTGGGGCCGGAGCACCGCCGGCCGCAGGGGCCATCGAGCTGGGCAGCATCGGTCCCGGGCGCCCGGCCGACAGGACTGCCTGCCGGAGCTCGGACACCCAGGCTGTCCGGTCGGCCGGCGAGTCGCTGGCCATCATGTATGTCCGATCGATGGTGACAATCTCGAACCAGCACAAGTGCGAGGACGAGGAGGACGGCGTGCCGGGCGGCAAGCCAGTGCCCGAGGCAGGGCTCGTGCCGGGGTTGGCGGCCGAGCCGGCGCCCGGGCCCGGCGGCCCGGGGCCCACAACCGACGTTGCTTGGGGCATGCGCGCAGGCAGGGTGTGCGACGAAAAGAGAGCCAGCGAGAGCGGCCCGCCGGAGGCGGGGGCGGTGGGAACCGCGCCCGGGCCGCCGGCGGCGTCGGCAGGCGAGAAGAGCACCTCGCCGGTGGCTGCCGAGGTCAATCCATGGAGTTGCTGCTGCTGCTGCTTGGACATGAGCACAGATGAAGTGGAGCATGGCAATGCCACCGGCGGAGGTGGCAGGGCGCCGGGGCCTGCACCGATGGCAGCCCGGTCGCCGTCGGCCGGGGAAGGCCCGGCCCCGGACGCCGAGCGCTCGGCCGGGAATTCCGGCCCGCGCGTGGCCACCCGAGTGGGGTAGATCCCGGGGTCGGCTTCCGCCAGCCTGGCAGCGAGGCCCGGTGAATGGCCAGCCTCCGAAGTGGGGCACTTGCCAGGCTGCACCGTGGGCCCCATGTCGGGGGGGTGGTCCTCCTCGTCGCCATGGAGCACGGTCTGGCTGGTGGCCGAGTGCAATCGCGCGGCGGTCAAGGCATCGGCCGTGGCCGAGGAGGAGGCCGCGGCGGCCGGCCCGGCCGCCGGGCGCATGGTCACTGCCTTGGTGAACTGTGCCGCGGCCAGGGCCGACTGCGAGGTGGTGTCCAAGAGACGGACCTCCTTCACCTGGTCCAGGAAAATGCGCCCCCGGGGATGGGCATCCTCCTCGGACTTGTAGTATGCCAGCGAGGTGTCGGTCAGGATGAACCAGCGCCGGCGATATGTCTTGATCGAGCCACCGGCCTTGACCAGCAGCCCGGCACGCAAGGCATTCAATGGCAGGTGCGGGTAGACGATGGCCAGCGAGATGGACGACAGGACGCTGGGGACGTCATACCGCCGGGCGAAGATGCGCGAGCTCTGAAGCTCGTCGGTCAGGAACCAGTCCAGCAGCTGGAAGGTCTGGCGGGCCGGGGCCGGCCGGGTGGCCGGGCCAGTGCCGGTGGCCCCGCCGGCCGGCCCCACCGCCAAGCCATACTGACTGGCGGAGGTCTCGGAGGAAATGTCCGAATCGGCCGAGCCATGGGAAAAGGCACAAATGAGGGCATCCATCAGGGCATCCAGCTCGGAGGAGCTGCACGTCGAACAGACCGCCTGCACGAAGAACCGCCCGGACCGGACAAACAGCCCGAAGAGGCGCTCCGGCAGGAGCGGCGCCCGGGCCAGGATATCCACCACCCGGCCGATGGCGGTCGGGCTGATTTGCGACCGGAGAAGGGTATCCCGCTCGAGGGCCTGGTTGCACTTCTTGGCCAGGAGAACCGCACACTCGGCCAGCCGCGTGGGCGGGCTGATGTACGCCGTGAAGAGCTTCGGCGACACGGCCTCCGCCAGGTTCAGGTCCGAAGGGGTTGTCGGGAAGCCGGCCGGCACGCCGAAGAGCCCGGCTTGAGACATATGGGCGAAGGCGGCCGCCGAGTCCCATGGCTGCCCGTGAACCGACACCCCGGGCGAGATGCACCCGCCACAGGGGCTGCCATCGTGGCAGGATACCGTCCAGGAGGCCGACCCGCCGAGCGGCCCGCCCGAGGCCTGATCCTCCGGCGGAACGACCGATGGCAAGCTGGCCGTCCGACCGAGGGGGCTGCCTCCGGATGGCGAAGAGGACATGCGGCCAGCCGCCGCCACCAGGGGCGGCCCGGCTGACCGAGGAGCCGAAAGGCTCGTGCGACCGTTGCCACAGCTGCCGGTGTGGCCGGTGTCGAGATTGACCCCGGCCCCGGAACCGGGCCCGAGATCCAGCCCGAGGCCGGGGCCGGAATTCGACAGAGTGCCATCTCCGAAATCGGGCGTCGGCGAGTCGGGCGCATCACTCAGCGGGCTGGGCAAATCGGACGCCGGGATATCCAGCACCCCGGAGAGCATGGTGCCAGGGCGCGAGCCGGCCGGGCCGGGGCGCACCGCCGCCAAGGCCTCCGCTCGGAAGGACGCGCCATCGGCAAAGCTAACCAGGTACTCCACCAAATGCAGGCGCATTTGCGCCAGGAAGGTATTGGTCGGCGTCATGAAGGCCTCCTTGTGACCGAAGTCCACATTGTTGGCCAGGTTCTGGAGGACCTTGGTGACGAGGACCAAGCTGCGCAGGGCCCCGGGGCTTGAGCACTCGGACGCCTGGCAAATCCCATGCGACTGGGGCTGCACGATGGCCGGGCAGAAGAAGCGCAAGAAGAGATACCCGCCGAGGGCTTGCAGTGCGGTGGTCAGGTCGAACTGCCGCTCGGCCGCCGAAAAGAGCGAGAAGCACAGACGCTGGATTTCCCCGGGCATCATGAGCCGCGAGGAGAAGATGGCCGACAGGAGCGACATGCAGGCGGACTCCAGCCGCGCCTGTCCCGCACGTAGACACATTCCAGGCCGCAAGCGCGCGGGGTCGATCTGGCAGATGCATGGCCAGTCGCCGGACGCGGGCCGCGAAGGGGAGATGGCAAAGATGCCCCCGGCCCCGAAAGAAAGGAGAAAGGCAAAGCAGAGAGGCAGGAAAGTGAGCGACGTGCGTCGGCCCGGCGTGTCATCCTCCTCCCACCCGTTCACGAGGGCCAGAGGCGATGAGGCAAAAGAGGAATGCTCTGGCGTCCCTCCCCGCCCCCCCCCCCCCCCTCCCCTGACCCACAGACACACATGTAAGGTCGTGATGGGGCTGATCGTACCTCGATAGGGGGGCCGTTGCAAATGGTCAGCACCGGCACTCGCAGCACGCTCCGGAGGTAGTCCTTGCCCAGGAGCTGCGAGTAGCGCTTCATCAGCTTGGAAGCCGGACAGTCCTGCCGGAAGAGGGTGGCCGTGATGGCGGCCACAGTGTGGCGCTTGTCCTCGGCGGCGGTGGAGGAATTTGGCCGCCTGGTGGCCCGGATGGAGGGGGAGAATTCCGTCGGGAGGTCGCATTCACTGGGGAAGGTGCTCGGGGCCATCAGGCATTCGTCCAACGAGGCGGGGCCGGTGTAGACCCCCGAGGATAGGCCATTGGCCTCCGGCGGATCCGGGGTGTGAAGGTCCGGCATCAGTGTCCCCGAGTGATCGGAAAGACACCCACCCGAAAGGGCACTGCCACTGGTGGTGGCGGCGGCAACGGCAGCGGCGACGGCGGCTGCCGATTGCATGCACGACGGACATGACTCCCCGGGAAGCGAGGGGTCAGCCAGCATGCTGGCTCCGGAGTCCAGGCGGAAGCTCCCACGCTGGGCGAAGGGGCTCACCTCGATGCAGGCGGTGCACGGCGCCCCTGACCGGCAGCAGGGACATGACCGGGAGTAGGGGAGCTGGAAGCCGGCCTCCTGCTCATTGGGGGTGCTTTGGAAAAGGGCCGGCCGGGCAGCCGTGTTGGAACGGCCTGCCTCCAGGGGCAGAGGGAGGGACGAGAGCGGGATGGGCAGGTGCATATGTTTGCGTGTGGCGGTGGCGGAGGGAAAGGAGGGGAAGCGAGGCGTCGAGGTGAGTTGCTTCCTATGACGTGCAATGGAAGGGCACCTTGCGAGACTGAGGGACAGCGAGGGAGAGCATGGAAAGACGAGCGGGGGAGGGAGCGTACGGGGCGTCGGCCTCCGGGAAGAGAGGGTCCGAGAGAGTTGCTCATGATCCTTGACGAGTTGCATGGTCGATGGAGGGGGGGTGGCCGGGGTGGCCGACGGCAGGGTGTTCTGGGCCAGGGGCGCGGCACTCGCGCCTGCTGGCAGAGGTCCAGTTGTCGACTCAGGCCCGAGAGATGAAGGGAGAGAGGCGGGGGCCAGTGCCGGCGGGGGAGGAGATGACAGGGAAGACGCCGGGCCGGGGGCCGTCTCCAGAGGCGGGGGAAGAGCGTGCTTGGGTGACAATCCCTCGGCCGGGGCCACTCCCATGCAGGAGGCGCCCACCTCCGAGAGAGGACGCGATTCGGAAACAGGCATCTCCGCGACCAGTGGCGCCGGTAGCAATGGCGCCGGCAGCGGGATGGCGGCAGCGGGAGGCACATCTGGCGGCTGGGCTGACGGGGCCATGGCCACCGGGGCAGGGGGCAAACAGGGTGGCATGGCACCAGGCTCTGCCTCGCCGAGGCCGCCCAGGTCGGCCTCGGGCCCGGGGTCGGACTCGCTGTCGGAGTCAAAGTCAGAGTCGGAGTCGGAGTCGGAGTCGGAATCGGACGCGATCTGGGATTCGGATGCGTGCTCGGGTTCGGAGTCGGTGGTGGCGGAGAGCTCCGAGCGGGTTTCGCAGTCCTCATCGACGCCCCCTTCCAGAGGGTCGAGGCTACCGGTGGAGCCGGTGGCCAGCAGGTCCGCCGGGGCGGCGGCCGGGGGCAGCTGCACAGGCTCCGGGCATTCGGACGACACGATGACCGAGCCTCGGGCCAGCGGGGAACCTGCTCCCCGAGACCCAGTCGAGCCGAGGCTGGAGCTGATAGCCTGTGGCGTGGGGAGGGGACAGGGCGGGACCAACGCGATGGGTGTGGGGGAGATGCCCGGTGCAGCAGCGCAAGGGTGCGAGACACGGCCGGCGTTGGCGTTAGAAAGGGATGCGGCCCAGGAGGAGAGAGAGCGAGGGGGGTGGGGGAGGGGGGAAAAGGCGCGACACGGGGGCCGAATGGCGGCCCAGGCGGCAGTGCCGAGGAGCAGGCGGTGACACGGCGGCAGCAGACGACACAGAACGCGTGGGGAGGGGGGGAACCAACTCAACTCTCGGGACCACATTCACCGAGAAAAAAAAACACCCAAGAAACAGCCACCTGGTTGCCCCCCTCTTCCCGGGGGGGGGGTCTTCAAGAACACGGGCAGGCAGCACGCATCCCGGGGCAGGCACCCGTTGACAGGGAGGGACTAAGGGCACAAATACTCGGGGAAACACACGGCACTCTGGGCAACCACACAGACACACAAGCACGCAGGACCGTGCGCCAGCACCTCCCCTTCTCCTTGCCCGACCCCCTTCTCCTTGCCCTCTTGGCGTGTTCCCGCTCCCCCCCCCCCCCCTCATGCGCGCTGACATGGGCACGCCCATCGGAGGACAGAGGCGGGAGACAATGGCCACACAGCGTGCAGGGGGATGAAACACCAAGCCCCTTGGACGTCTGTCACTCCGCGTGTGGTTGGGTGGGGTGAAAGGCCCCCACATGCATGCACCTGGAGACAGAGTAGCTGTCGAAGGGGAAGGGTTGTATGTGTGTGTGTGTGAGGAGGGGTGAGAATGGGGCGGGTAGGTCTGAGTATATTGCCATGAAGGATGACCCCGGCTGGGGAAGCTGCGGAAAAGGAGGGGCGAGGGCGTGAGTGAAAGGGGGGGGAGGGA